AGCAGGAAAGCGGTAGAAAAATATAACGATGGAAATAACGAGGCTAAACTTGTGACATTAATGTACATCTGTGCCCCCAGAGCGATGGGAACAGCGCAAGCCAGGTTGCTGGCAGTAGCAACCAACTCTGTCCTGAGTCCAGACTATTTCTAGAGTTAAAAGAAGTGAAAACATGGGCAAGAGGGTACTGTCACACAGCAGCCTGCGGGTACCTCATGTTTTTTTTCCTACCTCGAAGGTGGATGCCAGGAATATCGATGGCAGCACGCCGCTCTGCGACGCCTGTGCCTCGGGTAGCATAGAGTGTGTGAAAGTGCTGCTGTCCCACGGCGCCAAGGTGAACCCTCCCCTTTACACAGCGTCTCCTCTCCACGAAGCCTGCATGAATGGTGAGCCCGCGTGGTCTTATCTCTGCACAGTTACTTGCAGCTTGGAAAAAAACCCCAACAAAAGCATCTGCCAAGTATCTTAAATTGACCATAAGCTGTTGTTGCTCATCAGACCATTACAGCTTGCAAATCCATCCGCCTTACATGGGCACAGCTCCTTTTGAACGCAGAACGCAAAGCACTGTGGTATCAGATGAATAAAGCCATCCCTTGTGTTGGGTGCTTTTATCCCACGTGAGGGACATGGGATAAGATGGTAGGCAGGTAAAGCACCAGCTTCTCGATGCTCTGTTTGAAAACCTCGAGCCAAACCGGTAGCTTTGCTCGTGTGAGCAGAGGAGAGTTTGCATCCTTTTCCTCTGATCCAAGTTGAGATGGGATAAATTGTTCTGATTAAAACACAAGACCGTGTTAATCAGGTGATCCTGTCCCAGACCCCTCCTGGTTGTTTAGAGCTGATGGATGAAGCTGTCAGGTGGGAAGAAAGTGCCCGGGACTGTTGGGCAGCGTTGCTGCCTGGACTGCTCCTTGTCCCTCTCTCAGCCTTTTCCAGCTGGAGGGTCTGTTCAGGGGATAAGAGAAAACTACAGGGGCCAAAATAATGTTCCAGCTGGCACATGCCAGCCGCTCTCTGCTCCCCCCATCCTCTGCTCAAGCCTCTCCTGGACATTGGGTCTGGGTTACGGAGCAAGAGCAAGCATCAGGGGTGGCTGTGACAGCAGCAGCGGTGGGGGGAGCGGCAGAGGGGTACTCGAGTGTAATTCCAACCCTGAACTTACGCTTGCACGAATGCAACAGCAGGAAAGCCGGGATGCGAGAGTGGCAATGTCCCCATTAGATGATCGTGACCAAATTTCTTAGTTGTTTTGTGCCTCAGTTTCCTCTTTGTAAGATGTAATACCTCCTCTTTCCTCCCCTTCACTGTTTCTGTTTTGTGCTGTCCTGGACAGAGTTTCCCTTCGACTATGAAGGCTGTGGGAGACAGCGTTTTTGACAAACAGGTAGTTACTTAAATACATAGATGTGAGCTCTTGCTTAGCTTTTCCTTGTTAAGCCTTTTTCCTAAGGCTTGTTGATGATGACTGCCCGCTTTCTGGTAAGTTGTATTATTAACATTGGAAAAAGTGAAGCTGGAGTGGTCTTGAAGGTGATCTGATCAACCCAGGGCAGGATACATACAGCATATATGCTGTATACAATACATACAATACAACCAGCTCCACGAGCTATAGGTGATTTAGTGCAAACCCTTGAAATCAGGTTTTTTTGACCTAACTCCCTGCGAGACCTGTTAGCTCTAGCTCAGTGCCGTGCAGATGTGACTCTATTTCTTGTGCCCTGGTCTCGGTCTCGATCCTACAGTGTCCTGTGTTGGCTCACAAGCATTTCTATTTTGCAGCCGTCACCCCAAATATCAAACAGGCTGTTTGTGGGTCAAGCTGATCTCAGCGTGCCATACGCTCCCGTTTCAGCTGGATTCTTTCTTTTGACTCAGATCCTCCCTTTCTAAAGGTAGCTCAGAGTGCGTGCAACTCCTCATCGACGTCGGTGCAAACTTGGAGGCTCACGACTGCCATTTCGGGACGCCCTTACACGTGGCCTGTGCCAGGGAGCATCTGGACTGTGCAAAGTTGCTGCTCAAGGCAGGTATGGCAGCCACAGGCTTCGCTTCTGGGTGGGCAGGAGACGGTGGTGTCTCTGCGCGGTGTTGCCCTCGGCGTTCCGCAGCGGCGTTCTTGTCGAAGAGCTTATTCCTTCACAGCATAATATAAATGACAAAGGTCAAAGGTTTTGCCTTTACCTGAGCAAAGCTTAATGCTTAAGCATTTTTTCAGCGTCTGCCTGTCAATATCCAGTTTGTGTTGTTCCCAGTGACGTTTCCATTCACTTACTTTAATAAAATTCAGAACTCTTCAGCCCCCTAGAGCAAAATTCCGACTTCTTCCCAAAAGTGGTATCAACTGCTGGGCATGCGTTCAGCTTTGGTAGCACAGTCATATGGTTTCGTGTTTGGTGTTAGGGAGAGATGTGAGGGTTTGATGTTGGACAGAAAAGCAGAGATGATGTCACTTCATACCTCAGGGAGATCTGGTTAGTGTTATGCCCGCATGAGTTTGCTGGACGTTCAAGTCAATGTTCTGTGCTCCAGGTTTCACATCCCAGTTTTCTTGCTGTTAACTTTGGGAAGTTTGGAGTTGGACTTCTTGTCTTTGCCTGTGCTTAGCAGGAGGAGATTTGGCCCCGGGGGTGGGGATTTGTTTCACTGAACGTTAGTTGTCTAAAAATTACACGTTTAGGCTAGTTTGTTTCCAGCCTCTCCAGTTCCCTGTCTTGGGCACCCATTAATCGATTCCTCAGAAATGCCTGTTTCTCCCTGTTAATTATAAGGGCATTTCAGTGTGGCTACACGTACCTAAAAGCCAGTTGTTTGAATTCAGTGAGGTTCATCTCACCTCTGCTGAACAAATCAGGTGATAACATGCAAGCAGTTGTGGGGGGGATTGGAAAGACCTTTTGCTGTCGGCTTGTAAAAGCCAAACTTTCTTAGCAAAAATAGCTGTAACTCAAACTTGGTCCTGCAGTAGTGTCTGATGGTGAGCGGCCACATCTCGTGGGTCTGGGGTATTTCTGTTAACAAAGATATCACTGTTTGCCTTGAGTAGGAGCGCTCCGTTTTGATGACTGGGAACGGCTCTTTGCTGGCTTTGGACAGCACAGATTCAGGAAGCAATTCTGAATTTCACACTCAGCAGCTTATTTACCCAGTAACGTGGACTAAAATCCTTTCTCTGCAAGGAAAACATCAAGGCAGAGAAGAAGACTCATGCGTTGCCAGCACCGAGAACTTGTTCAGCAGTTTGGTTTCCTGTTTGTGCTGTTTTGTTTGGATCTTGTTCTAGCTGCTCCTGCGTGTTTTAACAGCGTTTTTTTCTCCAGTCAAACCACTCCTTACGTTTGGGTCAAGTGAGGCTTTCATGAACAGGTTTGTTTTTCTTTCTGGCCTCAGGGGCAAACGTGAACGCGGCTAAACTTCATGAGACAGCCCTCCACCACGCAGCAAAAGTGAAAAACGTAGATCTGGTGGAGATGCTGATTGAATTTGGAGGAAACATTTACGCCAGGGACAACCGAGGAAAGAAGCCATCGGATTACACCTGGAGCAGCAGTCCCACAGCAAAGTGCTTTGAGTACTACGAAAGTAAGTGAGAGATGATCCCCTGCCCCAGGAATTCGGTGGCTGCCAACTCCATTGCACCAGATCATGATTCTCAGTCCACTTTGATTTGTAGATCCCTGATCATCTTCCCGTGAAGGTCTAGAGTTCTTGGTGGCAAATGTACAGCGGCTGGCCGTAGGCTAGCTCTGCTTAATTGTGATTGAATGACAGTGGTAAGATGGTCCAAATCATGCCCGCACTGAATTCAGGTCCCTCTCATGTGTCAGCATGAGCTTGATGCATTAAGTCAGGTCAAGGAAATCAGCCAGTTGAAAACCCATTTTATTCAGGGCAGGGAACGCATTAAACTTCAGCTGCGTTGCCTGTCTGGTTTTGGAGGAGACATTTGACTGAGGTTTGAGGATGGTTTTAAATCAATCATTGTCTTGGTTACCCTTAGCAGACCTCAGAGGAGTAATTCACAGACCCGTCTGAGCATTTGCAGACCGCTGCTCGACACCACGGCATTAGATGATCCTAAAAGTCATAGAATCGTAGGATGCTTTGGGTTGGAAGGGACCTTTGAAGATCACCTAGTCCAACCCTGCCCCTGCCATGAGCAGGGACATCTCCCACTAGATCAGGTTGCTCAAAGCCCTGTCCAGCCTGACGTTGAGCACTTCCAATGAGGGGGCATCCACAGCTTTTCTGGACAACCTGTTCCAGTGTCTCACCGCTCTCATTGTAAAAAAATTCTTCCTTATAGCAAGAAAAATTTATTCCTTATAGAAGAATAAAGTCTTTCCTGGCTTTGCAATCCTTTGTGTGGTGAGCACCTTATAGCCCCTTTTCCCTCTGACTTCTTTCCCTGGAGCAGTCTCTCTGAGTTATTCATTGCTCCCTTGTCGTGGAGAGCAGTGAAGTGTGCTGGTCTGGCTGCAGCTGAGCTGGCTGAAGAGATTGAATGCTACATGCCCGTACACACTCCTGGTATCTCGCCAGAGTTTGCTGCCCCCTCAACCCAGAACTGCACATGTAGTTGCTTTTCAACGCAGACTATTGTAAAAGTACTATACTAGCTTTATTAGTATTTTTTTTTCTTTTGTTTTGTGTCATTAAATTTGGGACTAGGCCTAGGATAGATGCAGATCTTGGAGGGTGGCGATTGCAGAGGCTGTGGGGGTAGGGATAGCAGCTTCTTAGGAATGACTGCTTCCAGAGCAACGTGCCCAATTGTCACTCTATGTCCATGCAGGCGCATCGACACCCAGCATCGAGGCTGTGGGTGGGAAGGGACTTGGGGAGTTTTATTGGAGCTCTCCGCAGAGTGCTGAGCGAAAAGGCTTAACGCAATCCTTGGATGGAGAAACGGAGCGGTAGAGAGGTGTTGGAAGTAGGTTTTGTTCCTATATACGGCATTGCTGAGGCTTAAGACAGCGTCACTAAGGAAATCTGAAAGTCTTGGATAGCCCCAGTGGATCAGAGCAGTGGGCACCGTTGGCCTTTGGGGGATGCAGGTGAGGAAGGGAGGTGGGAGAAGGGCGCTGCAGCAGTGCTCGCTGTTTCTGGTGGGATTTTCATCGGGACAAGCCTTTAGAGAGCACGCCCGTGGCTCTGCGGTGCCTTCCTTGGGCTTGGGTGCTGTGGGAGGTCGAGCGCTCGTAAGCAGAGCCAGGCTTGTGATCACAGCGGAGGCGATGCCAGGCATCACCCTCCTGGGAGGTCTGTGCTCGGTGGGAAGATCAGCCGTCCGCTGAGCTGCAGCCCTAACTTTGCACCCTCTTTTCTCCTTTTAGAAACGCCTCTGAGTTTGTCGCAGCTTTGCAGAGTTACGGTGAGGAAAGCTGCCGGGCAGCGAGCACTGGAGAAGATTGCCAAGCTAAATATTCCTCCGCGATTAATCCAGTACCTGTCCTACAACTGACAGTGGTGAAGGTGGCCGGGAAGGACGACATCTTTAGCTCCCGCAGTATGAAGTATCTGTCTCTTTCTCTTCTACCTCCCCCCAGGAAACTAATATTAATTTAAGCAAACTGGTGTAAATAGTATTTATGAGGCAGCACTTACTCTTCTTCGTGGGCAAAGACAGGCTCAGGCAACGTGTAGCACTGGTTTGAAGTTGTAACCTCTCCTGGGGTGATCGGTTAGACTGTCACTGTGTTGGAGGCTGTAGCGCTCGCTCTTTGAGCGGGATTAATCTTGCCTAGTTTTACGTGTCTCTAGCCTGAAGGCATCTCTGTATGATCTAACCAGGCTCCCTTTGCAGTCAGTGAAGAGAAACAGATACTTCTGGAGCATGATTCATCCGTCCTGTTTTAGATGCCCGTGCTGGGGTGGTACAGAATGCCTCGGGAGCGCCTGTCTCCGCTGACTGCAAAGGGATTTAGAGGTGATACCCTCGGATACGGACGTCCGTGTTTCTGCAGTGGGAGTGCTGGAGCCCACCTCCGTGTTAATAACTCAAGTGACAACTGCCTAATGCCAAGGGACAAGGCTCGAGAGACCTGCGCGCTCTAGCTGGAGGCAAATTAAGTCCCCAGCAAGCTCAGGACTAATTAGAGGCACTGCAACCGGTTACTGACTTTCCATGAAGTTCAGTGGGCTTTGGCTCAACACGAGCAGTGAGGACAAACTGCTGCCAGATCAGGGTTGACTTTGCCCATGCTCCTTCCTCGCTGAAGGTGAGCCCGCTCTTACTGTAGCGTTCCGCTAGGGTATCACCATCTCTAATTTTCAAGCCCAAGCAGGAAGCAGGTCTCTCTGCACGTCCAAGGATTCTTCCCTCCAGATGGCTGGTCCCAAGGAATATTTCTCCACTTGCTCTGAGCCACTGTGGCCACTCTGTTGGTTTTATGTGCAATAAGAGGCAGAGCTGCTGCCCGGTGGTGCCTGAAGCACGGCGAGGATACGTCCCTTGTGCAGTGGTGCAGCAGATCCCTGTGGTGTACACCCACACGGGAAAGGCAATAGGAGGGCTGGGCTCTGCCTTGGGTTTTGAGATTTTTATTTCTATTTTTCCCTCTCTGAGTTTCTCTCTCAATGCTGGAGCCTCTCCAGAGGTTGGCAGCAGGAGCCAGCACTGAGCTGTGCACTGCCGAGTGTTGGGCTCGAATCCTTTGGCTTCAGCAGGCGCGACTGCAGCTTTGTCCTTCCGTGATTTAAACAGTCAGGGTGACATTTGCACGAGCAGAGCCAAAATTGTCGTCTACCTTCCAGATGAGACGTTACGTGTTGTCTGAAGGCAGTAACCTACAGGGTACGTGGTACTAAGGGAACGGAGCTCCCTGATGCCTCCATGACAAGTCTTAGCACTGTGATGAGAACAAATTCCTCCTCTGAATGACAGCAAATGTTATGAAATCTGCTGTCTAATGTGGCATCGAGCTAACTCAGGGCTCTCAACATCCTTCATGCTGTGAACTAACACTTGAGAGCCAACGGTCGCTTGCCTGCTGCCTGCAAGATCTCGTGCTCCTCCAACCAGCACGATGGGGCTCAGCCTCAGGAGGGAGGGGGAAAATAGCATAAGCACAGGGTTGAAGAGCTGAGGTGGAGCTGAATGCACTTTAATGGTGACCAGAAAATCACTTTGGTTTTTAATTTTTAGTTAGGTTCATTCCCCCTGCACCCCTTTGTTGTTGTTTTTTTGCTGTGCGGTATCATATAGAACAGGACAGAAAAAAAATGGCGATCCTGCTCTTTGGGGGGTTGTCTGTCTACAATTCTGATTTTTGTGTTTAAAGTATCAGAAATGTGAAATTGCCAAGCAGCTCAGGGAAGCCCTAGAGATGTTTATTGTGGGATTCACCCCTGTGATCGATAGGATAAAGGTTTTGTATTGTATCTTTCAAGAAAAGCTTCCTCTGCCCAACACGCGTGTAAATACGTATTAGGAAAGTAGTAGGTAAAGCAGGTAAATACGTATTAGGAAAGTGCACCTTTTGGTAATCTGGGGGGGAAAACCTTCCCTCTTGGTTCAAATTCAAGTCCCTTGTTAGGTTGCTTTTTTAACATTGCCTAAACTGGTGAAATAACGAAATGGTAAAGTCCAAGTTTCCAATGTAAAAACAGAAGACTCCTCGAACAACCGAGAATAAAATTACAAGTTCCTATTTACATCATCTTTATTTTTTTCCTCTCTTTTAAGTCACTTCTCTGGTAGGTTCTAAAGTTTGGTTATTTTTTTTAAATTTCTCTTAAGAGGTCCTGCTGATCAATGCACGCATCCAAGAAGGATTTACCGAGAGAGCTAAGCACCTCTTATTTGGTGGCCATAGCCAGACTCGTTCAGTAGCAGTTTTCTTAAAACATCTGCTTCTTATGGCCACGTCTGGAGGGAGAGGTGTTCCAGAAAGTCCTCTGAGAGCCAACAAGCTAGAAAACAACACCCGAGTCGTTCCCCGGTGTGCCGTGGTACTGAGGCAGGTGGCCGGATCGTGCCATGGCTGTTTATGTCGCGACGGGTGTTTACTTATACGTTTCTGGGTTTCTAAACTGCAAGGGAAAATTGAGATTGAGATGCTTTTTAACCTTTTATCCAACCTGTCTAGCCCTCAGTTCATTTAGTCCTGCAGGGATTTCTCAGCTGGTTGTGAAGCATCTTCTGAGCTGTTGCGTTTTACAGCTCAGAGTAAAGGTAAAGTAGATGCCAAATTAAACCAATGCGATGTTTTGCCTTCACTAAATTGCCCAGACTGCAATTTCTGTGGCAGTTAGCAGTTACTGCACGAGTAGCGGCATCATCCTTGCCGCAGGTATAGTCTGGATAGCTGGGAATCACTGCAGCCATCCCAAACTACGATGAAAATTAGAAGCTTTGTAGATAACATTGCCCTAACAGGCGTTGGGGGCTACGCTGGAGGTCAAATTTGGATTACAGTCTCTCCACTCCTGGTGAATTGCTGAGTGTAATTCCACTTACTAATACAAGAGGCCGTGGCAGGTCATCAGAGAGCCATCCCCAGCGCTCCGCTTCTGCAAACCCATCGCACTGTGTCGTCCTGCTTGACATGAGCCACAGAAGCGGATGGCTCAGGATCGCCTGCAAGACATCCCGGAGGCCGCGGACACGCTGCTCTCTATCCCATTAAGCCGTACCCGTCTCTCGTTGCACCATCGCATCGCAGGTATGGCTTGGGAAAGGCAGTTGTGGCTGCCCCCAGGAGATTCCTCCTCTGGTTATTTTTGCACTGGTTGTGTTTTGTTTCTTACGTGTATAAGAAAGAAGGTCTCAGGAGGACTTTATCTTCTGGAAGTTGTATGCATCTCGCCTGGGTGATGCACCCTCAGGCCACGTAGAGCTGACGTCTCTCGGTTATGGGTTAAAAAATGTGGAGATCCCAAACACCCAATTCACGCTTAGTTTACAGGGATGGGGTCCCTTTGCTGTTTCAGTGGCAGCCAAAGGAGGTGTGGGTTTGCAAAGAGTTTGGGGATTGCTGGGAATGAGAGAGACTGTCTAAATCCTGGGTATTAAGTGAAACTCCTCAGCTGACTCCGCTTGGGTTACACCCTTTGCTTTATTTTTATGTCAGGTTCTGGCTATTATTTGACTTCCCTCACCCTTTAATCCAAGTGTCAAATCAGGGCATGAATCCAATGCAAACACACCCAAAACCACCAGGCCAGTCCTGCTTTCATCCGTCCCCTTCCTGGGCTCCCCAAACTGCAAACCCAGTCAAGCATTTTGAGCCACCTCCCCTCTCCTGTGGGTTTCTCCACCACCTTTGCTATGGGTCCGGCAGCACGGGGTGCGATCTGAAATAACCCCGCTGCTTCGGGGAAGCCCAGGTGAGAACAGGACTTTGCTTTCATCCATGAAAATCATCTTTTGGACAGTCAGCCTTGCTCCTGGGCGCTGCCGGTTGCTGCTGGCCGGGCTTCTTAAGGTCGGCTTGCAAGCAGGGAGCTGGATCAGAGCAGTTTTTCTCCAACTATATGTGAAGTTTGTCCAGAAAAAACAAGGTGTGACTGAAGCGGATGCCTTGGAAGAAAGCCTCGCGGCGCTGAAGAATTAACTCCTTGTAACGCCAGCAGCCGTTGGTTTCCCTGGACGAGGTGGAGAGGAGCCACCCTTCCCCTCCGTGCATGAAGGAAGGATCTGTGCCGTTGGTTGCGGCTCCCCAGGTCTCGGCATAAGGAAACGGCGGCGAAGGGAAAACATCAAACACAAACAGGGTTGGTGTTCTTATTTTTTAATATCTTCAAGGGACTTCGTACAAGAGAGCAAACCCCAAGAGCTGCCCGAACCTTAGCATCAGCAAACAAAGACCTCAGTGTCCGCTGGAAAGTGGCATCTGAAGATGAGTAAAGGAGTGGTTGCATCATGGTTAGGGCAAGCAGGAGCATGAAGTGTCTGTTCTACCTCTTGATTTAAAAAAAACCCAAACGCTGAAGACCTTGAGTATTTACTTGAGCTTTCACACACCCTGTTCATCATTTCCCTCCTTTCTTCAGGGGAACGAGCGATCTTGCAGGCACTTGCAAGAAGATGGCGCCTGTCCCGCACGCTTGAGTGGGAGCTGGTGGAAACCGAGTTGGTGGGGTCTCTGCTGGCTTGGGCTGGCTTGAGGCCCAGCCTTGGGCAGCTCGGAGGCTGGTGAACGTCCTGTTCCCTGGCCTGGGGGTGGCCCGAGCACTGGTTATTTTGAAATCAGGGGTTTTGAGGCCAAGGTTGTTCTTTTCAAACTTAAAGCCAGCACCTAAATCTGTAGCAAGGTAGCAAAGCACAAGGGAGAAAAAAAAAACCCTCTACTGGTTTCTTAGGACCTCTGGGAACCTTGACTACTTCTACGTGGCACCTTTAGGTTTGCCTGTGCTGTTAGTTAACCCCGGGCTCTCCTCCCTGCATGCCACCGGGGAGAAAAACCTCATGTGTCCTGCAAAAAAAAAAAAAAACCCAAAACCCAAACCAACTTACTTTTTCACCCAACAGCGTAGATGCAGCTTGTGCTTCGGTAGCTGCCCTATAACTGT